TAAGTTCAAGAAAGACTTGCAACGCCCAGAGGTTGGCGAATGGCCATCACCTGTTGAAGCGAGTCTGCCGGGCAAATTGACCATTGACCATTGACCATCTGCATGGAGTCCATCCACCTCGTGCCCGCCCAGGTCCTCAACCTTCGTGTCTTTCAATGGTCCAATCCCTCCGCCCCCTTGACTTTTTCAAGACAAGGCAAATAGAATAATAATAATAGTCCGCCTTCTTACGCAGCATCGATCCGTCTTTCCGTACTCGAGTCAGAGTCATCCTGGACGTCGGAGGTTTCCAGAATCGCTGACGGCTGACTTGGGCCATAAAGCCTGGATTAAAACGAGACATTGTAACCCCTCTTCCTTCTCATGAAAAGTAGTGATGCTCCATCCTGTATCCCCTTTATTACAGTGACACGCTGCCGCAGAACCAGATATACAAGGCGATTCAAATAGTTCATATCCCCCTCTGTTCTGGGCCAGTGGTAGCTTATCAAAGCACGCCATCGTATTATTATTAGTGAGCCTGTCCCGCTGCAAGCTTCACATCGGAGGCCGATCGCCGCAAAATCTTTGGTGGGGAACACCATCAATTCAACCAACCCTGTCCAACAACCGTATCACATTCTGTCCTCACCACCAGACCATTCTTATTAGTATTGTCATCAATCACTGCTCTCGCTCTTCAGTCTCTTATATCATACGTCTCGACTGTCTCCGTTGGTCTCTAGGCGATCTGGAGATACTGCGCTCCATCCTCATTCCCCTTCGCGCTTCACTTGCACCAGTGGGAAGAGTCAGGTCTTCCCGCTTCGTCAACTGCGACCGAACAATCCTTGGCGGATAGAAAGTCACATCCCTCTTGAGTTACTGTTAACTCGAGAGGTCATCGACGTTTCCCTTCCTCGACTTCGGTTTCGTATATCCCCTGTATGGACTGCGGGACTGCTGGCGCAGCTGCGGGCATTGACCCCAAAATACTCGACAATTGGCAATCCGATACCGCTTTTTCCATCGCTTCGTGGGAACACGCCGTCTACGATCAGCAACTTGAGTGGGATGCCAGTCCAGACTCGAATCAGGATGAAGCAGACATTGTGGATCTAGGTATTCTACATGGTTCACTGGCCAACGATCAGCCCAGCGCGTCCGTCTTTGGGCATAATTCCGACCCTAGGTTAGCGCAGAGTCTCCTCTCCAGTCTGCGATGGTCGCAATAGAAGTAGCTGACGGATCTTTGATATGCTTGCAGCAACCCAGGTCTCACATCGCCCGAGAAGTTCAGCGTCGCGGATGCCGCGATCGAAGGCACCATCAGCGGGACCGTGAGCCCCAGAACCTTGCCCTCCTCGACTGACGATAACTTTCACGTTGACGAAACATGGCCGCAATTCCAGCTCATCAACTCAATGGCGGCTGGAGTGCCGGTGGACGCGCCTCTGCTCTATCCTTACACGAAAGACGCGACTTCTACCAACACAGTTATCGTCGACGATGGAGGAGAGCTGTCCAACGGACAAGGATTTTCAGAGGCTCATCCGGAGCAGTACCTGACGTTCCAGAATCTTTCTCAAGCGTTTCAATTCGCCGCTGATCCCTGGGCCGAGCCGCCTGCCAATCTCAATTCGAATACATCGGCGCAAGCACCCATCTCCGTTCCTCAGATGGGACCGCAGGTACCAACCCAGATTATCAATCAGTCTCGCAGCTTCCAGGGCTCTTTGCGCCCACTCGAATCGCGCTGGCTTGAGGGCCTCGAATCCCAACTGCCTACGAACCTAACTTCGCCTGCCTCATTATCGCCAAATTGTCAAGACCGCCCTTTACCTAAAGATGACAGAGCAGTTCAGGATGCACTTCAGTACAAGTCAGAGAGCTCTTCCGTTTCTGGTGATCTTTCAGGAGTTTACGACTGCTCCTACTCAATCTTGAGTGATGATGTGCCGGCGTTCGCGGAGCGACAGCTGGAAGACGAGGGTGCTTGGAAGGATGAGCAGAACGAGGAGTCTTCGTCTGCGACCTCGCAGCCACTGCTGAGTGCCACTGCATTCGTGGTCAGCGAAAACCCCCAAGAGTCTTTCTTCGTGACTGCTCCTAGCAGATCGAGGGCTTCGTCGACCGCTGCGCAACGAGCCTCTGGCCGGCCTCAGGCACTCGCTTTGCAATCGGTGGCTACCGTCAGAAAGCGAAAGCAGCGTACCTCAAACGTTAGCATCGACCAGAATCTGCCGAAACCACTGCAGATTGTCCAAGAGGACGGCCAAGGCGGTTCCATTGCCTCCGCTGACTTTGTGTCTCCGCCTCGTGGAGCACGCCGCAAGGGGCCTTTGAGCATGGTTGGCAGGGCCAATGCTGGATTGCGGAGGAAGAATAAGGATACTTGTGTTCAGTGCCGCTTGAACAAGCGGAAGGTTGGTTTCACCTGTCTTGGACTTGTTCCGGTCTCGTGTAACAGCAAGCTGACAATTGTAGTGCGATGGAAGCTCTCCATGCGACGCTTGTCGCCCTACCCTACACGAGCAGCCATGTGCGCGTGCCTGTTTTGCGAACATTGTCGAATATGGAACATGCAATTATATCTGTACGTACTCGACCCTCTTATCGTAACGGACATTTTTGACTAACAACAATTAGCTCAACGAGCTGTCAACCACCCAACCGTGGATCGCTCTGGTCGGGTCCGGATGGAAATTCCATCCAAATTCGACTTGAATGACCTTTTGACATTCCTGAGCGAGCGGCAAGGACGGTTCAACATCCGTGCTAGTCAAGCATGGGGATCACTGTACGTTTTGGACTTGGCAGAGACGTACAAGTTCTTGAAATCATTGAGCGAGTACAATGGTAACTCGCGATCCACCTTTCTCGAATTCATCGACCGTCGGATAGTGGAGTCGAAAGACAAGTCCAAGAATTGGCTGAGCTGTGTCAAAGACTGCGATCCGATGAACAATATCTACGTAAGTGGCTAAGGCCATCCTTATCTTGTATCCTCGACTGATTTGATTTCTAGTCTCTACTCTCACAATGGAACAACATGCCTAGTCGTGCCAGCTATAGCTTCGTTCCTCTGCAAACTGGAGGCCAAGAAAAGCCCATGGACATCCACAACCCCGAAGATCAACGCGAGATTCTGCTAGCGGCGCAGCTGTCACGGATTGTCTGCCGCATGCTGGAGGTTGAAGGGTTCCGGAAGCTTGAACGGGACTTTTACAACATCAAGTGGAAACAGATCTCTCAAGAGACACACCTGCGTTTCCTGAGTCAACTCGGACATATCCTTCTCTCTCTTCGGTGGCGAGTGTCCTGGTGGAAGCGCCTTGGGGATGGCGGCCGCGAGCCCGACCCCTCGAAGCAGCATTATGAGGATCGGGTCGAACTGCTTTGCCGAATTCTCTATGTCTACTACACCTGTGTGCAGGCGAAGCTTCCTTCGTGGTCGACCGCTGAGGTGCCCAAGGGCGTCTGGTCCACTTACGCTGATTCTGAAAATGCGGTGTGGGACGATTTCCCCTGGGATCCCAGCGAAGATGGATTCAAGAACTGGATGGAACGAGGCCGCGAACTCATTGAGCAAGCCGGTGTTCCGAACCGCGTCTCGAAGATCTAGGTGTCGACTTCCCTAGAGATTAAAAAGCAAACCCTCGCTTGGAAAAAATTGTCGATGGATTGGAACTGGAGTTTTGATAACGATACCCATGCAGCGTTTTTCATTTCTGGTCTTTACCTCTCTACGAGTGATGATTTTTATCATTTTTGTACATACCGTTTTCACATAAGTTTCATGAGATATATATAGATTACTTATGATCATCCTCCGATCTGCTTACCTACGCAGTAACGCAACCAAACACATCACCTGTAGACAGGGTATCTATACTTCATTAATCGTATCACTATCCGAATCGATCGATCGACCTCAATTCTTCTTTCCCCCCTTGTCTTTCCCCTTCTCCTTCTCCGCCTTCTTATCCTTCTTCCCCCCAGCAAGCAACTCAAGATGTCCCGCCCTCTGCGCCAAACTCCTCTCCGTCTTCGCCGTCAACCCAGCCGTAAGCTTCTACTCAACCGTCAGCACCAGGCACCCTCTCCAACAAATATCTCTCCACCGTAACAGCCAACGACGAACCTTTGTAATCTTCTGCTGCTTAATCAGCGTCGCCTTCTTGGGCGCAATCTGCCGCGGTCCTCGCTTGGGAGCTAGCGCCGTGGGACTTATCACATCGTCAGTAAGCTACTGTCAGGTTCCTGTGGTTTGTGGTTGTGGGTTGTAGTTGGAAGATCACGTACCGCTTTGCCGTGCTCGGCTTGGTTTTCTTTAGGGGGCCTTGGGCCATTTTTGTTTTTGTTTCCTGGAGGTGGAGACTGGGTCTGTGGTGGAGGTGAAGGGTATGTGTACTGCCAGCAGTACGGATGATCTAGGAATTGCAAAGGGGGTTGTTTTGAGATTGGGGACGAGGCGATGGGATGGTGCTGCGGTGCATGGGCTGGAGAAAATTGCTTATCGGGGTTATCTATCACGTGATATGGTGATAGTGGTGTTTTGGGTGGGGACGGAGTACTCCGTACTTACGAGTAAATAGGTGCGAATGCGGATATGGAGATTTAGGTATTTCAGGAGACTACCAATACTAGGACAGATTCTGCGAGTATCTTTGACTTGTAGCGCATGTAGGACTTGAATGGTATGCGATACAAGTATACCCTCAGCGTGGAGATGATCATTGGCTTTTAGATCTAATGACAGTCGCTGCGGTAGCTGACTCGGTCTATGCGCTCAATATATTTTGCCATATCTCATTAGAATCCCGTCTAACAATATTCGCGCAGACTCGCATTACAATGGCAGGCTCGAATACAAAGAAAAGACGAAGAATATATTCCAGGCTATGCTGAAACACAAACGAAGTAAAAGCGAAAGCTCGGCATCTCAGGGTCAAGAATTATTATGTCCACGGAAGAATTTACAGATCATGAACGGAGTTTGACCCCAGCAGGGAAGAAATTTAAAAGGCGAGGACGGCGAGAACACCAGCGGCAACAGCACCGAAGCTGATAGCGGTGCGGTCAGCAGCACCGGTGAAGAGGCTAGGAGCCGGAGTGGTGGCAGAGGGGGTGCTGGAGCCGTGGGGCTTGCTGACCAGAGTGCTGCTGGCGTGGGCAGAAGGAGTAGGCGAGCCGGAGGGGATGGAAGGACCGCCAGTGGGGACGACAACGGGGATCGTGGTGGGCTTGACGGTAGACTCGCTCTCGGGGCACCAAGTGGTGGTCTCAGTGGCGATGACGGTGACATCGGAGCTAGCAGGAGCAGGAGTGGGGGTTTCGATCCTGGAAGCGGCGGGGGTTGTCGGGGCCACACTGGCGGAAGAAGACTCGACAGCCTTGTCGGGGTTGGAGATACCGAACTGGGTCGACCACTGGTACTGACCAGTACCCTCGACAACAAGGAGGAGACCGTAGTGGGTGACATCGTTCTCGAGCTCGGTGCTGGGGGTCCAGGAGTAGGAACCAGTGTTAGGGATCGCCTCAGCGATGGTAGAGAGGGGAACGACGTTGGTGCTGGGGCCGCGCAGGAGGACCAGAGAGACGGGGCCCTGAGTGGTGGGATCCCACGTAATGGTGTAGGGGTTGCCGACAGGAACCTGCTCGTTCAGACCGGGCTTCAGGATGGCATTGCCCTGAGGAGGCTTGGAGTAGTCGGGCTGGGTGTAGGCGGAAGCCATGGCCACAAGGGCAGAGATAGCAACGGTGAAGAAACGCATTTTGTATTGATTTTCGTTTTCCTTGAGGATAGGCGAATATGTTAGGCAAAAAGAGCGACTTGTTCAAGAATCTCGTAAGATTTGAAATGAATGACTGGGGTTAAAAGAGTGGCTGTCGTAGGTAATAAACGACGTGAAGAGCTTTGGACGGAGAGAGAAAGAAAGAAAGAAGAAGGAGAGAAGGAGAAGAAGGGCAAGGGAGACAAGGATTCAAATTAGATTCGAAGAGCAGGAGGCTAGCATCATTTCGAGCTAAGCCTGAGATTGTGTTCTCCTTGAAGGATCAAGGATGATGAGGGGAGGGGCCCTCGGCCCTCACATTCACCCTAGCCAGTAAGTAGCCTCAGCCCAGTCCAACGGAACATTATCAGGCATCATGGGCGGATCTGCGGGTCATACTACGGATGTGGGTCGAATGAGCATGCCAATGTCGAATATGTGTTACAACATACTTCATGAAAACAATGGCTTTTAAGGGGAAGCAATCTGTTGAGCTACTCCTGTCCTGGTGCTGGGCAACGAGTGGAATGATGGACACTCGGCAGGAATGGGCAAATGTGATCCTGGTAAATAGGGCGGGAACAAATCCTCGTATCCCCATATCACTGGTGGAACTAAGATGAGATGTTTTTAGTTCAATTGTTAGCTTGTGTAGGCCTGTAGGGTCTCTGGTCCTGTAGGATTGCAGTCCCATGCTCCCAGCACATTGCATTTTTGTCATCATAGCCATTGCTATTCTTTTTTTAAGGATTCTCACAATCTCACAACTCTGTCCATGTTCTGAATCATGAGCACTATTATTTTTGATACTACAGATAAAAAGAAAGCACGGTGATCGTGAACAGTGGAATATGCTAATTAGTAAATAGGACTAAGAGTCCACGGCGCCACACTGAACTGTAATGTGGATTTAGTATCAACTTTGACCCACCCTCTCGTGGGGGATAGGGAACACCAGCAGGAGGTTGATTCTACTAATAGATACTCCGAAGATCGATAATAATGCTTCACGGTCGGAATTTGCAATGGTTCAGCCTTTCTGGTGTACAGACGATGGAGCAGTACGGGAGGTTGCTGTACGCATCAAAAGGCCGAGCGCCAGGAGCCKACGTTGAAATCATCCGAGGAATCGATGATGAAGAAGAACGTGCCAATTTTCAACGTTTACTCCGTACTCGTACAATCTTCCGAGATACAAACCAGTACTCCTTTTCCACGAGGAGTCGACACCTCAACGTAATCCTGACTCCTGTAGATACTCAGAAGATACCTGGTCTCAGTATCTCCTACTTCATCAAAACTTCGGATATTATCCGGTTTGCTCCCGTACAAATGGATCCAGCTTGATCCTTCGATGACTGGGTAAGGATTGTCTGGCTTCTAGGTGTGTCTAAAAACTCCTATGTTGTATAATTGAAATGAGACATACGCCACAGGGCCGCAGGACTAACAAAAATACAGCGAGACAGAGCTCAAAAACAATCAAAAAAAGGGACTATTATTACCCCTGGATTCTGGCCAATAGTTTATGGGAAACGAGCCTCCACCCGACCATGTTAGCATTCTACGTTGTATTGAGGATAAACAAACAAAGGATTCCACGAGCTGGGAGCTTGTGGGCATGACATGATTTTAGAGCTTGATTGTCCAACACTCGTAGATGGACAACTCATTTGATAAATGATAGCAGTTCATTCCGGCCGATCTGACGATGATCATTTCGATGAAGTCATCCCATGTTCGTCCCTGAGCGATTTCCCGGTCGCTCCTTTCTTGTTCCTGACATGGCCAGTGGAGCATTTGGAGTCCAGTGCCACTAGAAATCTGGAAATCGCGCATGACGAGTTGATCTGAGGCGGAGCAGTGTGTAAATCCACTGTTCCAGATATTATTGGCCCATTACAGTTCACCTGTAAAGGCTGTTTGTGTTCAAGGTACAAAACAAGGCTCAATAAACCCTTGCAACTCGTCTTACCTGCAAGTGAAGAACCTTTTTCCTACGACTGTATCACCTGGATAGCCAGGTCGCCTCCAGTCATGATGGCTGCTGGCCATGTGTCTTGCAAAAAGCACTTAATTCCTAGTTGGGCCCGGTCCTAGCGCAGGATGTCAGCGCGTCCCTTTAATCCCGGGCTCGCCCCTTAGAATAATACGTGCTTCATTGGCCCAATCATGGGGTGGACATAGCCAATGGGGCCTGAACTACGTTCATACGGAGCACTGCAGACTGTCTGCATCTCACCTGCTAAAAAATGGTGCATCTAAAAGTGATACATAAAGCGTTAGATGCATAGAAATCTGCCAATGGTGCCTTGTGCATTGCGCCTTTATTAAGGTTTACTCCGTACACTGTTCAATCCACGATTCCATTGATAGAGCGCTGCTACGGAGGTCCAAAGGACTAGATCCTCATCCTCATGAAGACTAAAGAAGTTATCCTGTTTCAAAGATGTGTCAGAAATCGAGATGATCCAGGCTCCAGCCCTGTCTGCTGTATCCCCGTGTTTATGCCGTCGTACGTTTTTGCACAGGTCAACTTGAGGCTTGCCTTAACGCGAATCAAGGAATCGACTGCGATCCAGTTTTGTTTTGGACACTAAAATGAAGTGGACAAAGTATGCTTCAGTATCGCGGACTGCGCAAGACGCTGGAACTTGGGAGTCACTACTGGATATACAGGGCTAGCTAGTAAGGGAAATATATCATGATTACTCATCAAATTGGAATATCTCAGATTTCACGACACCCGTCCCCATGACCCAAAAGAAGAATCAATCATTGCACCCAGGTTACTGTCTTGGTCTGCAACCACTCGTCATAGGCCGCAGTGCCGCCTCCGAAGCGACCAAATCCACTGCTCTTCCATCCACCATGTGGTAAGGTGGGCTCGTCATGGACAGTCAGGGAGTTGATATGGACGGCACTAAATGGTGTCAGCGATCATCAGTACTGTGTTTCTTGGAAAGCCTCCAGAGCTAACTGCAAAAGCTAATACTTCAAGGAATGACTTACCCAGCCTCGATTTGCTTCGCCACCCTAAGACCTCGGAACAAGTTGTCAGTGAAGACTGCCGATGTAAGGCCATATTCTGTATCGTTGGCCAGCGCGATAGCGTCTTCCTCGGTATCCACTACGATCAGAGATACTGTCGGACCGAATGACTCTGTGGAGTAGAGGTCCATATTCTTGGTGACGTTGTCCACAATCACAGGCCGTAGGCTGTGATCAGATGTCTCCGTGCCGTTCGCATCGCCGAAAAGGACGCTGGCGCCCTTGGAGAGCGCATCAGCAACGAGCGCCTTGTTCTTCTTGACAGCTGCCGAGGCTACTAGCACCGGTGCTGGCGCAGCTTTACCGAAGAGCTTCTCAGCATTCTCAGCTAGCAGCTGACGGAATTTGTCTGCGATTGCGCGCTGTACGACGATGCGCTCCGTGGACATGCAGATCTGACCGGACTAGTTCAGAAGTCAGCTTTCTGAACGCATCCCAAGGCGTCAGCGAACCAATACTTACATGCATGAAAGATCCAAGAGCGCAGCTGAATGCAGCCTTCTCCAGGTTTGCGTCGTCCAAAACAATAGCCGACGCCTTGCCTCCCAACTCAAGGAGAACCGGCTTGGTATACTTTCCAGCCGTCGAAGCGACGATGGAACCAACTTGAGTGCTTCCGGTGAAGTTCACCTTGCGCACGGCGGGATGAGCAATTAGAGCAGTGGTCACCTCAGCCGCATCAGCACTTCTGTGGTACAGAACATTCAAGCATCCGGCGGGAAGACCAGCTTCCCGGAAAATATCGCCAATTGCCCAGAAACATTTGGGAGACAGCTCTGAGCCTTTGAGGATGGTGGTGTTACCGGCAGCTAGAGGAAGTGCAACGGCACGAACTCCAAGAATGAACGGAGCGTTCCTGGAAAAAGACAATGTCAATATCTATGCGAAGGAGAAGTCGAAAACGCAGACTCGAACTAGGGTATCTTACCAGGGTGCAATTCCCAGGATCACCCCATAGGGCTCCTTGAATACCATTGCGCACTCACCGTCCTGAGTGACCGAGGGTACCGAGCCCTCAATCGACGGAATTCTAGCGGCAAAGTCCTTGAGAAATCCAGCTCCCAACCGACACGTCTTCTCCGCGAACATCCTCCCGGCTCCCGTCTCCTCCATCTGATATTTAATCAACTCTTCACTTCTAACGATCATGATATCGGCGGCTTTCATAAGGACGTCTCGACGGTCGTACGGCTTCATCCTGCTCCACTCAGGGAAAGCAGCCTTCGCGGCTGCTACGGCACGGTTGGCATCGTCGACTGAGGCGCCGGCGCATTGATGCAGCACTTCACCGGTAGCGGGTGCATGGATATCGAAAACATTCTCCGTCACGACCGACTCGTTATTGATGATGAGGGGGATGACGGCAGAATCGCTTTTAGCACTGTTTGCGGCCATATTGATGGTTTTCTTGGGAAGGGTATCGAACGCTGAAGTGAGAACGAGAGAGAAAATACAAGAGATTGTCGAGGAGTATGTACAAGGCAAGAAGGAAGGACTCGATGAGGAAGGAAAAGGGAGCGTTGTTGCGGAAGCTTCCCCTCTTGAACACGGGAGCGTCTCTCGGGAATTGTACCTTATGGAGCGGGGGTAGCAGGTTGCTCCAATGGGAGGGACGAAAGCTCGAGGTTGGTTCGGCAGTGAGGTGGGGGACAGAAACTGGCAATGCTCATCCGTAATTCCATTAGGACTGTAGACTAAACCAATATGATGATGATCATGTTGGAATCGGGAAGCCTCTAGCTGAGGGGTATCTAATAGTTCAATTCTCTATATGTTATGCAGCCCGCAGAGTTTAGCCGAGGGAGAGTACCGAGCTTGACAGCACTACCCTGAAAGGAAGCATTGAACTATTATTCCTATTGCCATAGAACATGCGAGTCCACCCTTAAAGCCCACTGAAAAAAATATATGTACATATATTAATCTCTCCATATGAGTGGCTGTTGGTCACTTGAGATGTGTGCGGAGTCCAAGGTGCTAAAGGGGGTACTAGTATAAGTAAGGTACGGAATGCTTTAGGTGCTTACGCAGATGCTCCTATCTGATTGGCAAGGACGATGCGCGGCCATTGTAGAGACAGCTGACAATTGCCTTGCAAATTTGCCGGACCTGCACCAGTGATTATTAAGCAGTGATGCATGCAGTTACTAGTGCGGAATCACAAGAAATTTCTCATTGGACAAAATAACAGTGGTCTTTATGGTTTTCGTAAGTGATCACTTTAAGCACAACCTTCTTAAAGCTCTTCTAAGGAGACATATATTGACTAGACTATAATATCTCAACTGCTCATATTGGACTAATATTCAACTCCTCACTCGTAATCTCCGTGAGTTTCAAATCTGACTCATGGCGCTTATTAGTCCTACTGGGTTGGCCAAAACAACCTAAATCTAACCTAATCTATGTACAATAAGTTAGTAACTATGGATAGACCTGGCGACTTTTAGTTTTGATGCGCATCGCAGTGTCGCGCTCACTGAAGCAGCCTGACTCTCAGGGAATCAGCCCGAGTAGTCAGGAAGTGAAGGAAGCTTCTTCGGAGTACTTGAAAAATTACGATGATTAACTAGAAAAGTATAGGACGACTGATTAGCTCTTATTACCAGAAGCGGAGTGCTGCCTTTCCAGGCGGATATCAGAAGCGTATATGACAAAATGAATAAAACCCTAACACCATGCATGCAACAAATATCCAAGCGTATATGAACCCCCACCACGCCATCTATGCGTTTTTATATTCTATTTAGAATCGCGAATGCAAAAGCAAGCGTAAGCATCAGCATCGTCATCACCGTCCAGCCCAGATCTTCGTCTCGGACGACGGCCTCGCCATATCCGAAAACGGACACGCGGACGTCGCTGACGGAGCCACGCTGCTCGCGATACTGGAGCGGTCGTCATCGCTGGAGCTCGCCGATGCGCTGCTGTCGCCGAGGATCTTCTTCTCGCCGATGTAGCCTTCCTTGTCGTCGAGGATGATCTCGGACATCTCGTCGGCGTACTCCTCTCCGTCGCGGAGACGCCATTTGGCAAAGAGGTCGTTCTGGATCCAGATGATCTTGCCGATGGCGCGGACGAGAGCAACTTTGCGTTGCAGGGATAGCTTGGGGTGGGACATGAGGGCTTCGGTGAAGACGTCCTGAATGAACCCGAGCATGACGCCGATGTGGATGTATTCGATGTTGAGGGGAATTCGTCGTTCTTGGCCGGAGTGCATCACTCTAGCTGTGGGTTAGTGGTTGTTCTTTCTGTTTTGGTAGAGAGATGTATGGAAAAGTGAAGGGACTTACCCGACTTTGTTTAGGTACCGCCAGAACTCCATCTCAGTAGGATCGGAACAGAGCTTTGTCAGGTACCACCTCAAGAACATCTTCCGTCGTTGGATCTGCGGGCTGTTCTCGGTGTACCAGTCATCGACGTGTGTGGTCTCATCAGAGGTATCTCTTGTGATGAAGGCGCGAGCGGTGATGTCTTGTTCCAGGAGCTTTTTGTAGACGATGTTGACGATGGCAGGGATCAGAGCCTTGATGTACTTTGAGCCTGTGGTTAAAGCCTCGATATCACCTGTACACTTGTTAGCTTGAATCATGCGAACTGTGCTTTGCCAAGAGGAGACGGCATACTGGAATTGAAGTCGAGAAAGTCTTTGAGGTAGTTGATGCGAGCTTCGAGTCTGGTATATAAGGCCTTTCGGCTCACGTGCTTCACAGGACGGCCACCCTCAAGGAGAGCCTCCATCTTTCTCCTTCCTTCAGACGCCTGCATGGTTGCTGTATGTGATGGCGTTGCAGTTGGTTCTCCCCGGAGATAGTGACAACGTGACTAGAGGTCAATCACGAATTACTGTGGGCACAGCTCTGGTTAAGATAATAGGAAGTTAGGGTTATGAAGCTTGCTCCGTAGTAGAAGGTGGATAGATCTGGATCGAGAATTAAAGAATGAATTGACCCGTAGATATGAGATACTGGTCCCTCTTTATACGAGAGTCCGAGGACAAATCACCTCGAGACAGCAGGAAAAACTTATATTCCTCATGCAAAAATAACATGGCTGGAGCCATGATCCCCATTTTTGGACTCTAATCCTCCATGGTCCGAGAGCACTCCACACGGGCGTCGGAAACTGTTCTGAAATTGATCACATCATTTCACCAGAAGAGCATTTTGTAAAACAGGCTAGGACGGGAAACAGCTCAGAGAAATAGAATGGACCTATCATCAGGCTAGAGATTGATGGAATCTCCTAGGTCAGTTCTGCCTTGGAGCGGACGCTTGGGCGGTTGCCGGAAGTGGGTTTGTAGTGGTATGATCCTTCGTTAGCAAAAAAGGGATCTAGAGAATACCTAGGTAGACATCATAGTGCTATCTATCTGAGCTTAAGACGTGGAACACGTGGTACCGTGGGGCCGTTATGTCAGTGGTTACGATTTCAGACAAGCTGAATGGCTGTTATAACTGCGTACTCTGCAGTTAAATGATCTCCTTACTGCTCAGGATACCTACCATATGAATAAAAAGAAATCCTGCATGTAATTCTATAGATACCGCTATAGACGCCGTCACTTTCTGGAGACGCCATTGAGAATTCCTCTGAGGCCATATCCTAGACCTAATTCCAAAAATGCAGGCTTACCTCTACGCCTTCGGAAACTCTAACCATCATTAGAAGCACTGTCGACTGACCCGTTTAGTTCCGAGCCGGCATGCATGCATGCCTCAATTCGGAGCCGAATGGCCGAGTTTACAGCTGCATACGCCTGTAGTATTAGTAGTATCAGTGTCATTTCCAACCAGGATTTGTTTCCTCAGAAGCTACGTTGGGCAGCTTCCCCTCGTTCAGATACATCGACACTACTTGCGTGCTATGTTTCAAATCTGTCGATCACACCGGTAATTGTCCTCTATCTCGTCTGTAGTTCTGTGGAAACCTCGATTAAGACCATCCTCATATAGATAGCCACTATGGTAAATCACGATACGCAAGGAGGATGATATATCTACCTAAGGAGAATAGGCAAATCCGAGCATTTCAAACTCACACTTATGACTCAAATCCAGCAGTACCAAACACAATTGTCCATACGCAAATGGCAAAAACAAACGATATTTCAGATAATGGCGCACTGCTTGAAAGTTGAAGAATCAGATGTCGTGTGATCCCTTACTGTTAGAACGCAAAGAGAGAAAAAAAATTTCGTCGCATTATGGAGAAAGCCCCGTATTGATGCGCTCCGTTCCCGAAAACGGCACCCCGTAGTGGGCAGCTAGCCTATACTTAGCAATAACATCGGAGCGAGTATGGCATGATGTCGATGGGCCGAGCCTTACCCGTCAAATACTTAGATTAGTGTACTAGTGACGGGGAATGGTTCACTCGTCGGTGATGGGCGTCTGACCAGCTAATTAAGAGAGTGGACGTCATTTGACTTGAACGAGTCTTGTCACTTGGCAAAGTGAGAATCGACATGTCAATTGATATTGTTTTATGCTCCGGGATGTCAGAGAGAAATAAAGTTCTGTCAAAAGTTGACAGCTATGGTTCCGAATTTCCGCCAACTGGGATGTAACTTTCCTGCGACTTTGGTATTCTTCGGCTGTATCCGTACTGCGTCAATCAGAAACCTTGGGCAGTGGAACGATCATTGCATGCATGTGGCGCTCATTTCATGCGCCTCGGAGCTTACAGCTTGTCAGCCACGAATATGATGCAACCAAATATTAGGTACAGAGAACGATAATAATAGATAAAATAATACAGCAGCCGAAATTCAATCGGATACACAAGAAAACTCTTTGCGGTACCTGACAGATCCACCATATCAAAATACAAAACATACTCTGATGATTTGTTCGCTGGCTACTATATCAAGCATCCAGTCTACTATCTGCAGCACATGGTGGATCAGATATCACCAGCAAGTGAATTTTCAGTTTAGAGAACTTAAAACAAACTGCATTAGTAAGATTTCTAACGATGGGAGTGACTATCCAAAACATTAAGAATGTTCTTGGAGTTTAGGCACATTGATTCGGAAACTTCCTGTCCGTCAGAGGGCTGGGGAAGACTCCGTTGGCAAGCAAGTCCTGCATATCCCATCCGGGTGCCCCCTCAGTCTTCCAAGTCCAGAACAGCCAGCCATTCTTTCCTTCGTAGGCATCGAGCTGGGCCTCGATGAATCGTCGAGTATCAGTCCTCTCTTGATCGGAAAGGCCTGCCACCGAGCCCTGAGACTTGTCTCCGCAATCGCCATACCTCGGGTTGTTGGCATACTCTCCTTGATAGCGCGTGGGAATACCCTTGCCATTTAGGTACTTCGTGCAGTCAGTGACAGCGCCTGACCATTCTCCGACAACAACTGGCTTATCCGACCCTTTGATTTGCTTGCCAAAGTC